TCTATCAATCTTGTCGCGAAACGACGTTATAGGAGGTACTTTATACGAAAGTTGCTACAATTTTTTCGCTACGTTATAGGAATTGACGTTATAGGAACGCACGTTATAGGGGGGGTCAACTGTATATCAGTTTATTGCAAACTTTAAAAATTTTCAACATAGTTTATCATTAAAAATTTTAGGATATAATTAATCTATCTAAATATTTTAGCTAATTTTTTCCCACTTGATATTTACTGCTATAATGAAACATCAAAATATAATGATACAAATTATCAATTATTAGCTTAACTTTTAAATTTGATCTTAAAATAGATGATCTATAATTTGTTTATATAATGCATAAATAATTATTATTTCTGATGAAACAAAATAATAACACTAAGATAAGAAAAAAAACCTAAAATCTTTAAATGTAAATTAATTTTTTTATTGTTATACAATTTGTAATATTGTTAATAAATTCTTTCTTTTTGTAATCATTTTAATCTTCAAATGGATTATATTTTATATATTGCCTTAAGTGAGAATATAAATACAATTATTTCATATTTAATGTTTTAAATATTTTGTTTTTTTCTTTTTATGTAGATCAATATTCCATAACAATGCATGTTAACACAACAAAATCAGGAAAAAAAAAGTATCTGGCCATTTTTAATTTTATTATTGTGAAAAATTAAATAATGTACGAATAAAGTAAATGAACTTTAAAGCATGTCTCAATAATTAAATAACTATTTTTAAAGAAGGATTTTAACTGAATGATGCTTGATTACTGTATTTTTATTAATAACTATTTAAATTTTTAAATTTCAAACTTACTGGCTGGATTAAGACATTATTCTTTCCATATAATAAGGTAGATTTAGAATTCTGATGTAATGACTCAACATAATCTCTAGCAACAACTGGAATCATACGGTGTCCTTCTTCACTACTTCCAGAAATTCTAACATCTTTACGATACTAAAAATAATTTTTTAATTATAAACAATTTAAAAATTTGTAAAGATAGATAAAATAAATAAAAATTTGTTGTCAATTATTTTCAAAAAAATTTATTCTATATAATTATATTAAAATATTTAAATCCTTTGTAAATAAGTTATGTATAAGTTTACCTAAATATTAAACATATTTTCCTTGATATTCTCTCAAAATTACTTATATTATCTTTATTATTTAAAAGATTTAGTAAAATACAATTTAAATTGATAAAAGTTTATTTTTGTATTTATATTAAACTAAAACCATCTAGTGAGAGTTATCTAATGAATAGAAATGTCTTTATGAAATGTTTTAGTTGAAAATTCATCTTAGATATGTTTCTATTTAGATATGAAAATGAAATTATTTTAAATGCTATTCATTTTTTGGAATTTTTTCAGCATTATTTTTTTGATTGCAATTCTTATAAAAGGAATTATAAGGCTACCATGAAATGCACTCAATATGATTTAAATGTCATTGATTCTTATATTTATTTTTGCATTTCACATGTAATTGTTCAACTTTATTGATTCCTTCATTTTTACTTTTTTTATAGTTTCATTTATATCAATAGTTTGAAGAATGAAGGGAATAAAATACATACATGTTTAATACTATTTTGAATAACTGATTTTGTTAATTTATAAACAATCATTAAACTGCAATTAGTTATTTCTTAAGAGATACTTAGTATAATTTTATGAAAAAACTTCTCACATTAAAACTATCTATGAAAAATGCATATATTATAGGAAAAATTAAAATAAATTTTATATAAAAAAAGACTAACTTGTAAACCAGGTCTTCTGCTTGATGGAGGGGTAGCAGGACTATGCAATAGAGGAATACCACTTGAAAGACGATGTCGTTGAACTAATTCATCAGCTGGTGGATCTGTCCAGTAATGATCTTGAGTTTTCATTTTTGAATAATCCAAAGCACATGGTCCAACTAGTTAAAATGGACATTAATTTCAATATAAAACTTATACAAAATATATTTTATTGAAATTTTATTTCTATTATATCCTGGTGGAAATAAAATGATAANTATATTCCAGAATATTGAGATTGAATAAATGGTGATTCCAGTTTGAACAGATTGTCTTTGATTTTTATTGGGTTGTTCGGAAAGTAATTTCGTTTTTTTTTTTTTATTACTAGAGGAATTAGATGTATTTTTACCAACCAATTTCATTTTAAACCAAATTTTCATTATATACTGACATTATATAGCTGACATTTTAAGGCTTATTTGTAAAAGTTGTTTGATTTTGTGCAATTGTTTATTTTTCGTGTCCCATCAAATATGGAAGATCGAAAGCAGCATTTTCAGCGTATTTTGCCCTTTTATTATCGAAAAGGTAAGAATGCTGCACAAGCGAGTAAAAAATTGTGACATGTACGGAGAAGATGTATTCACAGAACGACAGTGCCAAAACTGGTTTACAAAATTTCATTCTGGCAATTTCAATATCGAAGATGCACCACGTTCTGGATGGCCAGTTGAAGCCAATGAAAACAAAATAAAGGTACTGATTGAAACAAACTGCCAAATAACAACACGTGAAATCACTAAGAGATTAGATTTGTCGAAGTGAATCGTTTATGATTACTTGAAACAAACTGGTTTCGTTTTAAAGCTCGATATATGGGTTCCACATGTTCTTAAAGAGAGATGCTCTCTTTGGTGGGATTTTAAGGAAATTTTTTTTTGAGCTTTTATCAAACAATTTAACAATTGATTTGAAAGTGTGCTGCTATCAAGTAAACAAATTGAGTAATATCATCAAACAGAAAAGGCAGCCAGAATTGATCAACAAAACAAGTGTAGTGTTTTACTAAGATAATGCCAAATTTCACACAAGTTTGGTAACTCGCCAGAAACTGTTACAGCTTAGATGGGACATGCTATCACACCAACCATATTTGCCAGATCAGGCACACTCAGATTATTACTTGTTCTGGTGTATACAAAATTTTTTAAACTAAGACATTTACTTGAAATGACAATGTCAAAAATCACTTGAATCAGTTTTTTGTAAGCAGAGATCAAAACGTTTATTAACGTGGAATCATGCTACTACCAGAAATGATGACGACAGATATTTGACCAAATGGTCGATATATAATTGAATAAAATATTTATTTATTATAAAAATATTGTGTTTTTTTCCACGGAAAAAAATGAATTTACTTTCCATACCATCCATCCAGCAATATTCTACAATTGAAGTGTATATATTGATATACTAATAGAGGAAAGCAGTATTTTATTTATATGGATCTAAGAATGTTATGGTCAACAACAAAACAAACTAAATGTATGTAAGAGAGATAAACATTCTATATTGTGATAAATACAAGAGAAAACTTCCAAGAGGGACAAACAATAATACTTGACACGCTGCCTAGCAGGGATTTAATGCAATAACAATTGTCCAATATTCTCAAATACTATTTCCACTTTGGCAGCTGCTTTGGAACAAGTGGATATGATTGATTGTTTCCAAAATATATAAAATTAGACTGTNCGACGATGCGGTTCCATGCTGGTTTGAGAGTTTTGTAAGCAACAAGACATATATATATATTTCTAACATTTGAGCACTAATCTCATACCCCATTCTGCCCGAGTGCGGGGTGAAATGAAATGTGGGCAAGCTTTTCTTTTTAATGATTTATTTTTTTATGTAATTTAAATAATTATGTGTCAAATACAATAAATAAAGGATATAATATAATATTTTTGTTATTTTTCTTTTATTGTTGACATAATTTTAACTTCTTCGTTAGCTACCCCATTTCGCCCGGGTTACCCAAAGTAATAAGTGTTTAAGTTACACATTTTACAAAAAAAGGTTATAAAAATTCAATGGAGTCAGAAAATTTCTTCTTTTGTTTTCTTACATAAAATGTAAAATTACGAAAAAATTATATTTTTCTTTCCTTTCTGACTTTTGGATAATATAAAACTTCAATTTTTAAAAAACAAGCCAATAATGACTATAAAATTTTCAAAAACAGAGTTTAAAAAGGTATAAAAAAGAAAATAATCTGCAGAGAGAAAATAACTTTTATTTACATCATTACTAACAAGCTTCCCATTGCATCTACCAAAATATTAAATAAATATTTTGGTAGATGCAATTCTAATAATAAATTAAAAATACACAGCATATCTGACCTTTAAAACAATCTAAATTATTATTATTAAATTGTATGATGGAGAAAATAAAGCAAAATATCACAATTCATAAAAAACTTCTAAATACAGTAGAGTGTCATTTATCCGAAAGAATTCCAGTTGGCAAATTTTAATTTTCGCTAGTGCTGTGGCACTGCAATCTTTGGCTATATCTTGGGCTACTCCAATATCACGCTGAATCGAATGTTTTTGATACTAGATTAACTTTTAAAGTATATTTTTTTTGTTTTTATATTTTTCAATATATTTATTTTGTTTGTAAAAAATAAAAATAATTTTTAATGATACAATAGCCACGATTATTATTTTAAAAAGTTTACGTTAGGCTTTTACATCGATGAAAATTCAATGCGAAGCGACATGCAATGGAGAAAAATTTCAATATGGGATAGGTTAATATATTTTTTCGTACATAATCGGTTATCTGAAAAATGAGTTATCCGAATAACCCCAGTCCCCAATTGATTCGGATAAACGTGCTCTACTGTATTTAGATATTTTTTCCATAGAGAATTAAAAACAAGGAAAAATAATTATTTTTGTCTTTTTATTCTAGACTTCTTTACTTAAATATGGAATAAAAATTAAAAGTTTCAAAAAATAAATAAAAATCTAGACAAATTATAACATTAAACAATTCTAACAACAAATCTTTACCAATAATGCCAATGCTTCATTAGCTCCTTAGATAACAGTATATACATATGAATCACAGCAATAATCCAAGTAATTCAAACATATACACAATACTATTGATTAGACATTTTCACATTATCTAATACAAAAATAGACAACCATACACTTTGTTCAAAGCATAAATAAAAATGACTAAAAAAGACAACATTCATTGTCAGTCCTCTAACAATTTATCATCAAATTAAGAATTAAATACAAATATTAATGCTCTTAGAACTTCAAACCACTTTCTGCTTTCTCAGAAAATATTTTGCTATTCTCTCCTCATTTAACATATAAATTTCCCAACCTACAATTTAAAATGATGTTCTGCATTCCTGCACTCATCCTACTAATTATTTACACAGAAACTATGATAGTGCCAAAATTTATGTTCTTTTAACAACAAGCTCAAACAATAAAGCATTTCAAGATATTTACAGGTCATGATAGATTTTTTGAAAGATAAAAAAACTGTTTATTTGGTTACTACAAATATTCTAAATTTAAATTACTCCAATAAATCTTTAGAAAAATAAATATACAAACTTGTTTGGATCAGTGTTTTCAATCTCTGCAACCATTTGTGCTATTTCAGCAGCCGGTTCAAAGCACTTGGCAACTTTCTGTAACAGAGCAGTCGTAGAATTTGTCTTAAACAGACCGAGTGCTCTTCTTTTTAAATTGTGAGAAAGACAAGCATCAACAGCAGCTAAAAATATTATACAATATTTATTGAAATCTGATATACTTTTAACTACATAAAATGAGAGAATTTTTTTAAAATAATTAATAAAAAAATTTACATTTCTATAATTAAAGATTAAATTAAATGTAAATTTAATTATATATATATATATAT